CTAACCTGGTGCATGCCAAAGTATCAACCTCGTGAAGAGATGATAGGAAACAACGGAAATGGCGAGAAAGAGAGTATGATCACCCTCCATTACCCTATGCTGTCAAGAAGCAATTATTCTGCATGGTCCATCAAGATGAGAGTTTTCATGCAAGCCCAGGGAGTGTGGGATGCAGTGGAACCCAGAACATCAAACACAGTTGTCGAGGTGAAGAAGGATAAGATGGCACTAGGGATACCGGAAGACCTGTTATTATCCCTGGCTGAGAAGAAAACAGCCAAAGAGGCCTGGGAGGCGTTGAAAACAATGTTCATGGGAGCAGATAGAGTAAAGACTGCAAGGATTCAGACTTTGAAAACAGAATTCGAGGCACTGAATATGAAAGAGACAGAGGGTGTTGATGAATTTGCTGCAAAGGTGATCAACATTGTAAGCACTATGCGTACCTTGGGAGACACAGTAGAAGAATCCTACGTGGTGAAAAAGCTACTAAGGGCTATGCCATCTAAGTTTCTCCAAATTGCTTCAACAATTGAACAGTTTGGAGACTTAGAGACAATGACAATAGAGGAAGTAATTGGGAGACTGAAGGCCCATGAAGAAAGAATGAAGGGACATGGGGATAATGATGAAAAGAAACTGCTGCTAACTCACCAAGAGTGGTCAGAAAGGAACAAGAAGAAGACTGAGGGAGATTCCAAATCTAAGTCGAATCGAGGAGGATTTGGAAACTCACGAGCACGAGGCAGAGGAAGAGGCAGAGGTAATGGTGGTCGTAGCATTCGTGGGAGAGGAGGATCACACTACCAGAAAGATGGAGGTCGTGGCTCGTCTAGTACCCAAGACAAGAGCAAGGTCCAATGCTATAACTGTCAGGAGCATGGTCACTATGCAGCAGAATTCCCGAATCCAAGACGTGAGAGAAATGTTGAAAACAACTTGATAAAAGAGGACAACGAGCCTGCACTTCTATTGTCATCCTTTGAGCACAAATAAGAAAGGGGTGAAGTATTTCTGAATGAAGAAAATGTGAATCCGAAATTAAAGACAGGAGGTGGAGAAACAAGCCGGTCAAAAGTATGGTATCTCGACACCGGGGCAAGCAATCACATGATCGGTGACAAGGAGAAATTTCGTGATTTGAACAGGGAAGTGCAAGGATACGTAAGATTTGGAAATGATGCCAAAGTCAGAATAGAAGGAAAGGGATCAATAATCTTCCAGTGCAAAAATGGAGAGCAACGCAAGCTCCAAGAAGTGTATTACATACCCGATTTGTGTAGCAATATTATAAGCCTTGGCCAACTATCGGAGAGTGGAGATGAAATCAAAATAAAAGACCCATTTTTTTGGATACATGACAAGGCTGGACGATTATTGATGAAAGTCCAGAGGTCTCCAAACCGCCTCTACAAAATAGAACTCGAAGAAGTCAATTCAAGGTGCTTGGCAGTCGAAATTAGTGACCCAACATGGTTGTGGCATACAAGGTTAGGTCATGTGAACTTTAGCTCATTGAAAGAAATGTCTGAAAAGGCTCTAATTGAAGGAATACCAAGAGTGGTGGTTCCATCTAAGCCATGTGAAGGGTATCTCATAGGGAAGCAAACCCGACATCCATTCCCAACAAGTACAAGCTACAGGGCAAAGAGAAGGTTAGAGCTTGTCCATGGAGATCTGTGTGGACCAGTTTCACCACCAACACCTACAGACAATAAGTATTTTATGCTTTTTGTAGATGACTTCAGCAGGGTCATGTGGGTGTGCCTGCTGAAATCAAAAGAAGATGCTTTTCAAATGTTCAAGAATTTTAGAGCAAAATTTGAAATAGAAACAGGAGAGATAATGAAGGTGCTTAGAACAGATCGAGGAGGGGAGTTCCTCTCCAACCAATTCATCACTTACTGCGAAGAAACAGGACTAGATCGACACTTTACTTCACCTTACTCTCCACAACAGAATGGCGTTGTGGAGAGACGAAACAGAACAGTGCTCGAGATGGTTAGAAGCTCCTTGAAGACGATGAGTGTCCCAGATGTGTTGTGGGGAGAAGCTGTGAGTCATGCAGTCTACATCCTAAACAGACTAAGCACAAAATCTCTAAAGAACACCACGCCTTATGAGACGTGGACCGGTCGAAAGCCACATGTGGGTCACATAAGGGTGTTTGGGTGTACGGCGCACATGAAAATAGCCAAGAGTCATTTGAAGAAGTTGGATGATAGAAGCAAGCAAGTCGTGTATCTTGGAACTAAAAAGGGATCAAAGGCTCATCGTCTTTTGGATCCTGACACAGGAATGATATATGTGAGCAAAGATGTAGTGTTTGAAGAAAATAAAACGTGGGCATGGGAGAAGTCAACCAAGATTAAGTTGATACCAGGTATGAGCTTTACAGTCGAAGGTTTTAGTTTGGAAGAATTTCAAGGCAATGATCTGGACTCAGAGTCACATACTCCCCAACATGAAAGCGGGTCTCCACGATTTGAGTCCGACTCGTCATATGGTGATAATGATTGGGTCGTAGGTGAGCCCAATAGCTCTCCATTGGACTCCCATGGAAGCCCACACAGCATACCCATAAATCAGCTGGGTACGCCCAATTTACCCTCCTCACACGAGTCACCTGCTACATCGAGTACTCAAGTCGGAACACCAAGCACGGCTTCAAGCTCCACAGGAGGAGGAGCCCCAAAACGATACCGACTTCTCACAAATCTGTACGATCAAACAGAAGAAATTGAAACCCCTGAAGAGCTGTTAATGGTCCAAGATAAAGAAGAACCTAACTCGTATCGAGAAGCAAAAGAAAAGAATGAATGGGTCAATGCAATGAAAGAAGAGTTGACCTCAATTGAAAGAAATAACACTTGGAAGCTGGTTGATCTTCCAAAAGGACGAAAAGCAATTGGGTTAAAGTGGGTCTACAAGGTGAAAAGAGACCCTAACGGGAAAATTCTGAAGTATAAGGCGAGAATTGTGGCAAAAGGCTATGTGCAGAAACAGGGGATCGATTATGATGAAGTTTTTGCTCCGGTGGCAAGAATTGAGACGATTCGAGTAATCTTAGCCCTTGCAGGTTCGAGCGGATGGAGGGTACATCACTTGGATGTGAAATCGGCTTTTCTAAATGGAAGAATAGAAGATGAAGTGTATGTAAAGCAACCTGAAGGCTTTGAAAGAAGAAACGAAGAAGGCAAAGTCTACAAACTTTCAAAGGCTCTGTATGGACTAAGACAAGCGCCCAGAGCCTGGAATGCTTGTCTAGACCAATACTTAAAGAAACTGGGATTTATGAGATGTTCTCTAGAGTACTCAGTTTACACAAGAAAAAAGCAAGGGAGGATCTTGATAATAGGTGTTTATGTTGATGATTTACTGGTCACTGGTAGCTGCCCTGATGATGTGAAAGAATTCAAGTAGGAGATGAGAACCAAATTCGAAATGAGTGATCTTGGCTTGCTAACATACTACCTTGGAATTGAAGTCAGTCAACATGATGCTGGAATAACACTCAAACAAGAAGCCTACGCTAAAAACATCCTAAACAAAACTCGAATGATAGATTGCAATGCCACAAGATGTCCAATGGAACACAAGCTGAAATTGACTAAGGATGAAGAAGGACAACCGGTTGATCCCACTGAGTACAAAAGCATTGTTGGTGCACTCAGGTATCTCACCCACACACGCCCTGATCTCTCATTCACAGTAGGAGTAGTCAGCCGGTTTATGGAGAAACCAACTGTTAAACATCTACAAGCAGTAAAAGGGATACTTAGATACATAAAGGGCACTCTCAACTATGGTTTGACTTATACCAAAGGAGAAAACAGAGTCACTCTCACAGGGTACTCTGATAGTGATTTTGGAAAAGATATGAATGATGGAAAAAGCACAGGTGGGACAACATTCTATATGAATGGCAATCTAGTGACATGGGCCTCACAAAAGCAACGTAGTGTAGCTTTGTCATCCTGTGAAGCAGAGTTTATGGCAGCAACCATGGCAGCTTGCCAAGGTATTTGGCTTCGGAGACTTCTCACTGAAATAACTGGGCAAAAGGTGCCACCTGTAGCTCTGTTTGTTGATATTCGGTCAGCTCTTGAATTGATGAAAAACCCGGTGTTCCATGTAGTAAGCACATTGACATCAGATATCACTTTATTAGGGAATGTGTTGAGAATGGGGAGATATTGGTAAGTCATGTGTGTGGTACCAAACAGAAAGCTGACATCCTCACAAAGACAATGGCAAAACTGAAGCATGAAGAAATGAGAGATCTGATTGGAGTCAAGGCTATCACCAACTTCTGAATTAAGGGGGAAAGTGTTAAAAATAATTCATAAGTTATATTTAATTTGTTGCATGTTTAAAATTGAGTAGAAAGAATAATTCAAGGCCACGTGACAGATATGCCCCTGGTCTTTAGCAAGTAGCTGGTAGTTCCTACTTTTCTGCATTTTTTTTGTTTAAATTCTAGGCAATGTGTACGTTGTAATCATCCCAAAAGTTTGCTTTCTCATTTGTCAATCAGTGAATAAAGATACGTTGCCTCAAATATCCTTTGTGCCTTCACTTTGTCCTCTGTGTTGTGCAGCTTTCCAGAAGGCTGGTAATTCCAGTTTTGCCCTTCCTGTTGTTCATCTGTTTTGTCACCTGTTTAGTTTACTTTCCTGTGTCCAGTTCCCTGTTTTGGTGAAGAAGACTTTTGTTGCACCTGCAAAAGACCAACTGCAAAAGACCAACAACACATACAACACCTTTCGTTGTTACCCGTGTTGTTGGTACATTAGGCTAGCTATGTAGATCCTTCACATTATAATACTGAAGTTCTAACAAAAGAAGCAGACATATACTCGTTTGGTGTGGTGCTATTTGAAATATTGTGTGGAAGACTAGCATATGTAAAAGGATCCGAGTCTCTAGATGTCTTGGCTAAAAGCAAGTATACAGATAACAAATTGGATGAGATCATTATTCCTGAATTGAGGAAGCAAATGAAGTTGAGTTTCTTTAACACCTTCTCAGCAATTGCATATCAATGTTTGAAACCTGATCGAAATGAACGTCCAAAAATGGCTCACATTGTTGAAGAACTTGAAAAAGTATATAATATTCAAGTAAGCTTAATTTTACATAAGTAGTTCGTCACATTACAACAACTTGCATGTACATTATACGTCAAAACTGCAGAAGTAATTCGGGTAGGATATTGGGGAAATACATCTAATGGAGGTTCCCAAAATTGTTGGGATTTCATACTTGAAAAAGATCATATATTAAGGAAGATAACTATCGATCATGGTGATCATATATACTCTCTCACGTTCACTACGGAATCCAAGGGTATTTTGTACACATCTGAAAAGGCTGGTGGTAGGAATGGTGGAGGCACAGTGAGTGAGGTAACTCATCTTTGAACAAACCTACACATACATGTTGACTCATTTATTTACTTATTACAATTATGAATAGTTAAAAGATGTTACTTTTTGGCAAAAATCCACTGTGTGCTTTTCCAGAAGAAGTTTGACGAGAACGAGGAACTAACTTGCATTAAGGGAACAATCAAAGTATTAACATCAGGGCATACAACTATTTCGTCACTAACATTTATTACAAACGATAAGACACGTGGGCCTTTTGGTCGAAAAATAGATACCCCTTTCTATATACTATGGGAAAAAGGAAATTTTGGTGGATTTTATGGTCTTGCACACAACATTATTGATGACATCGGTGTCTACATGAAGTCATCATCTGATGTATTCACACGGGTTGGAAAATGGGGAATGAAATCTCATGGATGTCCCGATAATCAATGGTCTTTCCGACTCCAGAAAAATCATCGTCTGAAGGAGATAACAATCGATCATGGTTATCTTATATACTTTCTCATGTTCACAACCGAATTTAGAGGAGAAGATAAAACTTCAGAAAAGAAAGTCTAGATGAATGAGAGCAAGTACCCCAAAGTATTTCTTCATATAGTCTTGTTATTCATGGCATCATTCCCCCACTTTCACCGGTTTGAAGCCCGATTCTCTCTTCAGGTCCAACTGGGTCTCTGCAAAAACAGTCGATTCATTGATGGATTTTGGGGTGAATTTAAAGGGGTTGCATCAGTTCAGTACTAAAGATGCTGTCATCACTACTCTTTCCCATGTTCATGATTCTCACTTTCCCCTGGTCATGCTTCTTCCCTGAACGTTATTCATGATAGTAAAAACCGCCAAGAATTTTTCGGATCCTAATCAGAATCGGGATTAAGGATTATGGGGGAAGATTAAAGAGGAAACGATGATCAGATTAGTAACACGCCGGTAAATGGAACTATGTCATAGAAAATCGTCAACATCGTCTACATGGTTTCCAGAGGAAAATCATTAAAAAAAATTCCATAATCTGGCATGCAACGACAACTTTAAAGACACAACTATAATGAATCCTTCAACCAGGAAAAGCCTTCAAAGGGTCTGATGTGGAAACAGGTCATTGTCAACTTCATGCATGCCCCTAGAACGTCAAAAATAACGTAGGGATCTTTTAAACCAAAAATGAAAAGTTCTTAACATACTTTTTCTGTTGGGATTGGGATCTTTCATTATTTTTGTGTAATGGACATGCTTATATAGTTTGTGGATGTGGACATAATGTCTCTATAGATAAATGCAGTGTACCAAAATGCCATTACCATGACCGGTGGATCCAGATCTGAAGTCTAGTGGGTGCATATTTACTGTCGACTTGAGCGGGTTGCTGGAAGTAAAATGGAGATCCATTGTCCCTGCCCGTTAAATGAATGTTATAATTTATAATTTGTTGGGTTAATCTTGATGGTTCAAGTCAGGTTAAGCTGTATCACGGTTATGAGTCTGAATGGGTCGGTCCAAGTTCTTTATGCACAATCTTAATAATAAAGACTTAGTCTAATGAAGACCTGGTTTGGTGGGGTTTAATAACGTGGACTTAGTAGTCCTATCTATAAGGTTTCTTAGCTGATAGTTCTTCTTCTTAGGATGTTAATTAGTATAAACAGAGTAGGGTTTATCCTCTAGCCATAGTTGAATGTGTATGTATCAGGATGTAACTTTTCTCTTCCACAATATAGACTCTGTTGAGTCTAATTCTGAATTGTTTATGTTTTCATGCACGTTTTAATTTTAGTTTGAATAAATCAAAGTGACCCAGTAAGTGGTCCCTAGTCTTTAGTTTGTAGTCAAGGTTGTTTTGTGTTTTTTAGCAGAATCCTAGTTTAAAAGCAAAGGCAAGTGTATGCTTTGGATGTATCCCAGTTGAGTTTTCAGTGAATAAAGTATACGTTGCCACATACTTTTATCTCTAGTACTCCTTCTTGTCCCATGTGTCTCCATGTTCCTTTTGCAGCTTTGTTAAACTGTTAATTTCCAGTTTTGCCCTTTTCTTGTCACCTGCCAAACTTTTGTCCCTGTGCAGTTTCCATGTTGTGTTTTGTTTTCCCATCTAGGTAATAAAAGTCCTTATTACCCCTGCATAATACCAACATTTGGTATCAGAGCAAAGCCTGGTTGTTGCATGCCAAAATATCAATCTCGTGAAGAGATGTCAGGAAGCAATGGAAATGGAGAAAAGGAAGGTCCGATCACTTTTCACTACCCGATGCTGTCAAGAAGTAACTACTCTGCATGGGCTATAAAGATGAGAGTCTTCATGCAAGCCCAAGGAGTCTGGGATGCAATGGAACCCAGAACAACCAACACAGTCGTGGAGGTCAAGAAAGACAAGTTGGCATTGGCTGTTATTTACCAAGGGATTCCCGAGGATCTGTTGTTGTCCTTGTCCGAGAAGAAGACAACTAAAGAAGCCTGGGATGCTTTGAAGGTGATGTTTCTTGGAGCAGATCATGTCAAGACAGCAAGGATTCAAACATTGAAGGCTGAGTTTGAATCCTTAAATATGAAGGAATCGGAAGGAGCCGATGATTTTGCTGCCAAGATAAGCAACTTAGTGAGTTCACTACGTGCATTGGGGGACACAGTGAATGAGTCCTACGTAGTAAAGAAGATGCTTAGAGCAGTACCCAACAAGTTTCTCCAAATTGCTTCAACACTTGAACAATTTGGAGACCTAGAAACTATGACAACTGAGGAGGTCATTGGGAGGCTAAAAGCTCATGAAGAAAGGTTGAAGGGGCATGGTGAAAGTGAAGAAAGAAAGCTACTCTTAACCCACCAAGAGTGGACTGAGAGAAACAAGAAGAAAGGAGAAGGAAGCTCAAAGTCAGCACCAAAAGACAACCGTGGTGGGTCATCACGAGGAAGAGGAAGAGGCCGTGGCAGAGGCGGTCCTAGTAGGGGTCGAGGTGGTCATGGCAGGGGTGGTTCTAATCAACAGAAAGAGAGAAGCCAAAGTCAAGATAAAAGTGAAATACAATGTTATAATTGTCAAGAGTTCGGGCACTACGCTGCTGAGTGCAAGAACCCAAGGAAAGAAAGAAATCAAGTAAGCAACCTGATCTAGGAAGATGATGAACCAGCCCTGTTGTTGTCATCCTTTGAGGCTAAAGAAGAGACAGGGGAAGTTTTCTTGATGAGGAGAAGGTTAACCCGAAGCTAAGATCGAATGGTGATACTGTGAGTGAATCAAACATGTGGTACCTGGACACAGGGGCCAGCAACCACATGACTGGAGAAAGGAGTAAGTTCCAGGAGTTAGACACAACCATCCAAGGCTTGGTGAAATTTGGAAACAACTCGAAAGTTAGAATCGAAGGGAGAGGTATGATTATTTTCCAATGCAAGAATGGCGAGCAAAGGAAATTAAGAGAAGTATACTACATACCCGAGTTGTGTACCAATATTATAAGCCTTGGGAAACTTTCAGAAGGGGGAGATGAGATTAGAATCAAGGAGAATTTCTTGAGAATCTATGACTCCAGGATGAGACTACTCATGAAGGTACAGAGGTCACCAAACAGACTCTACAAGATCGAACTCAAAGAGATTACTCCAAAATGCTATGTTGCTGAAATTAATGACCCAACCTAGTTATGGCACACAAGGTTGGGACACGTGAATTTCAATGCTTTGAAGTTGATTTCGGATAAGGGAATGATAGAAGGAGTACCTAAGATGGTTATACCATCTCAACCATGTGAGGGCTGCCTGGGTGGAAAACAAATAAGAAACCCATATCCATCGTGTACAAGTTTCAGGGCCAAGAAAAGACTCGAGCTGATTCACAGGGATTTGTGTGGTCCAGTTTCACCCCCCACACTAGCAGGTAACAAGTACTTCATGATCCTAGTTGATGACTACAGCAGGGTAATGTGGGTATACCTGCTAAGAACAAAGGATGAAGCTTTTCAGTCATTCAAAACCTTTAGAGCAAAAGTGGAGAACGTGGCCGGTGAGAAGATTAAAGTTTTGAGAACAGATAGAGGAGGCGAATTCCTGTCCAATCAATTTACCAATTACTGTAGTGAAGCAGGAATCGATCGACAATACACCTCCCCATACTCCCCACAACAGAATGGGGTGGTGGAAAGGCGTAATCGGATGGTGATAGAAATGGTGAGAAGAAATTTAACCACGATGAAGGTCCGCCACACACACTATGGGGTGAAGCAGTGAGTCACGCCATCTATGTACTAAATAGGCTGAGTACGAAAGCATTGAATCAATCCACACCCTACGAGATGTGGACCGGTCGCAAACCCTATGTGGGCCACCTGAGGGTGTTCGGGTGTCTTGCACACATGATGATTCCCAAGAATAAATTAAAAAAATTGGATGAGAGAAGCAGGAAAGTCGTACACTTGGGAATCGAAAAGGGAACGAAAGCTTACAGGCTGTTACACCCGAACACGGGGTCGATTCATGTAAGCAGAAATTTCGTGTTCGAAGAGGGTCAAACTGATGGGTTTTGGTCATAAGACATCCTATGTTCTCATACAAACCCTAATGCCTGGATCTAGGTTTCTCTATTGTGCATGCTTTGAATCCAAGACTATAAACCCTAATCCTAGCATGCAAGTAATCATATTAACATAAGAATGAGTTTATAATGTTACCTTGATTGTTATGTAGCAATAACAATCCCAATCCCACCTTGAATTGACTTTGGAAGGCTTAGAGTCACAAGTGTCACTCCTCTAATGGCTTACAAACACCAAGAGCAAATGGAGAAGGTATAAAGAGAGAGGAGAGAGGTAGGAATTCGTCCTTAGGACTTCTTGGGAAGGGCTACACGAATTCATGAGCCTTAGGGTCTTTATATAGGTGTAGAGATAGGGTTTCAGTCATTATCCTTATCTAGTTGCTTATCCACAAAGCAACCCATAAGATAATCCTTGAATCCTTATCATAATCGAATTCTAAGGCCTTATCTCCTTAAATTCGTCCAACCTAATAATAAGATAATCCTTACCTTATTTTGTAACTATCACATAATTACAAATCAGCCCCTCTAGTTTAATTAATTACACTTGATCACAAAATTAATTCTTAATTAATTATTGACCAATATTAATTAAACAAACATGATTTCTCCTTTAATATATGATTCTTATAACATATTAATAAATCATATTATCCTCTCTCTCTCTATATATATTTCTCCAATCAAGTTGCTTTGGTGAAGGCAACCCAAAAGGACCATGCACCATCGGGTCAAGTACATACCAAAATAGTTATGGACTTAGACACTAATCCAACAGTCTCCCACTTGGATAAGTCTAATAACTATTATGCGTATGACTTCAGATCCTGATCTGCAATCGTAGCTTTCCAAAGCCGCCATCAACTCTGATCCTATCAGATACGCGTGTCCTTAGATAAGGGATCATATATTCCTCCATTCTAGATATCGTATGAGATATGATTTCAAATCATTCTCTTTGTACTATATCTCGATTTCTGATTTATGACGACAAACTAATTGAACAAATCAAATTAGCCTAGCCCAGCCGAGC